CCCCAAAACCCCAAAACCCCAAAACCCCAAAACCCCAAAACCCCAAAACCCCATATAAGTCATAAGAGATAATAAAATACAGATTTAATAAAAAGATGAAAGAAATTTATAAGGTAAGTAATAGTCTCGGTTTGTGGCTAAGCAGGCTGGAATCTTTGAGGCGTTTAATAAGAACATAATTTTAAGAATCCATTTGGTTGTATAAATGAGAATAGTGAGAATTAGTTATACTGTAAAGAAAGGAAGTTAACGAGCCAACATTCAAATATGCGATTATTGAAAATGTTGGATTAGGGAGCCAAGTCTAGAGCGACCTTTTGTATTCTCAGGGTTATGATTTGTGCTAAATAGGATTTTGGAGGATAGGTTTTAGTTGGGCAAGATCTGGCTGATTAGGATTTTGAAGTAAACCATAATTTTATTTCTTTCTTACTGATACCACCCCTATCTCCAATCTCCCCGTCCAAATCCCCACTTACCCTCCCACTAAACTCCTTCACCAGCCAGACTACTCTCTATTCCCAGTTTCGTTCAAATCTGATCATTGGACTATTAGATTAGACACCTCCGGTCATCGCTTTTATGTACAGGTTAAGTTAAGCCGACTTGGGATATAGATGGGTGATGAGATATGAGCTTGGCTTGGAGTCGAAAAGTTTGTAACTCTTCAATTGAACTGTGGCTTAGTAAATACTAGTAACTGGCCAATAGAGCCTAAAAGTTATAAAAAACTAACCCAAATCGGGACTATTCCTCTCTCCACCAACCACATCAAAAACTCCACATCCCAAATAATTTTTCAAATTTATGTACATCAAAATGTCTAAAAATATTAAATTTTCCTAATAAATAACTGCGCTAATATTACATTCTTCCAAATAATTCAGTTTTCTCCTGTATAAAAAGGAGCAAAGAACTCTAAAGCCCCTAAGACGAAAAGACTTCGGACAAGGATCATTTATATGTATAGGACATAAGTGAGATCAGAGGGCGAAGAATTAAGCTGCTCTTATTTTTGTTGGTTATAAAAGGTCTGTATGGATGAGCAGAAAACTATTATGAAGTTGATAGTGCATGCATGCCTTGTCATAGCTCTTGTAAGAGCTGAACTCAAGGGGATAGGTGTGATACTTGTGAAGAATTTATGATGTTATAAAAGGGAGTGAAGATTTAAGGTAAGCAATGTTTTTAAATTCAGTAATTGTTAGGTTATTGAAATTTTCTAAAATCAGGCTCTATAGCCAAAAATATTAAATGATTTGATGGATAGGATTTATTGTATTGCAAATTAACCTGAGATACAATGAAGCATTTTTCTTAAACTCAATATGATATTTTTCATTGTTAGCTTCATCACTTGTCCTTTGTCAACATTACCCATATCCTTTTTTTCACTAATTATTTTACACAACTATTATTTATGATTTTACTATTCTCAGCTCTGAGAATTTGTGAGTTTTAGGTTTTTATCAGGATTAGGAATAAAAGAACATTACAGACAAACGTCCTCTATAAATACCACTAGTCTACTCTGCACTCATTGTGAAGATGACCAATATTATGACGAAACACTCCATATTTGCAGAAGCTGAGAAGGAGCATGCTCAGGGAAGTGAAAATTCAGAACTCAATGTATTACTTGAGATCCTGGTAAAACCTTGGACCTTGATACTCTGACATGTGTGGATGATTGTAACTCCTCTCAGATCAAACTTGAAGGTTTTCACTTGTCAGTAAAGAGTGCATGAAGAACCCCTGATTATTACATTGACCCATTTAGTCAAGAGATTTTAGAATTAGGAACTCTTCAGTATCCTTATAGGACTATGAAATCAGCTAGTTCTGAGATACTTACATTTTTATCCCACAAACAAGTGAATGTTACTATCAATGTAAAGGATGTCTACATTGAGGATAGATCTCTGTTTATTATGAACATTACAGAGATCACATTCCAAAGCCATCCTGAATTACTTGAAAAGAGGAAGGCTGTTATAATTCCAACTCAACTGCCTCAGATTGGAATCAGTCAGAAAGCTAGATTTCATCTCTTACAGTCTGTTCAGATGCCGGTCCTTGAAGTGTTAGGTGCAGGAGCTTTTTCTTACAAAGAGCAGATTCAAATAGGATCAAGGATCAGTAACATGGTTGCTAGGTCAGCCATTAAATTTGAGAGTGTTGACTTCTACAGAGAAGAAATAGATTACAATAAAGATATTTTGTTCATGCTGGGAGTATACCTTCAAGACAAAACGGCTACTTTTTGTAAGTAATTTAATGAACTAATTTGGTATCTAATTCTTTTACTCATACTGATTTAGCCAATATGATGATTAATGTCACCGGGACTTTTTGGACGACTCAAGATCCATTCAACTTGTAAGTTAGCTATAAACCTAATTCTATTTTCATTTTAGAATTTTTAAGTTAGTCTTCAAAGTTGAATACAAATCTACCTATAAACTCTTATTGCTTTTATCAACTGCTCTAATTATTTTTAGATACATCAGAAACATAGTTTTTGATACTTACAGCCTTAGAAACATACTTGGATTTAGCATAGAATGTAATTATCCAGAAGCATACAAGAGCCCAACTATAGATATTGATGGTCTCAGATTTATCACTTCAAGAGACAGAACTACTGGAAGTAATCCAAATGGTATTGCAACAAATCATGCAGGGAGCATTACCATCAAGAATCTAGATGTAGAAGATTATTATTCTACTTTAAGCAGTATTTCAGCATCATTCTTTTATACTGTTCAAGCGACCTGAACTCCTGATGATGGTCTAATCCAAACTGGGACCTTTGAAAATTTCAGTATCTCTGTTAAAAATGACAGAGGAGATAAAATCAATCCTATTGCATTAGATATCAGTAATATCCACTACAGATCTATAGTGAGCACATTTGAGAATATTGAATTCTTCGGGTACCAAAGAACAATGTTCACTCCAGCTCTATTTACTGGGACACCCCTCGATATTTTGAATATTAATAGCCTCAGCATGAAAGACAGTTTCTTCTTTTCTGATGCAATAAAGATCAGCTTTTTCCAAAAAGTAACGTTTGGAAGCTTGGCTTCTCAATCAACTGTATTTGAGAATATTGGGGCCTTCACTGATTATTTCCTTGTTCTATTCTATGTGGGCCAAGTAGAAATCAGTAACTTCAAATTTCAAAATGTGACTGGCCCATTTAGCAGAAGTTTATCTTTCATTTATCTGAACAACATGCACTCTACACCAACGAAGATAGAGAATATTCAAGTCTCATACTACAACTTTTGGAATGGAGGACTCATCAGCGTTATATCCAGCTTAGAAAGAATCGAAATTCAGAATATTACTATTTCTGACAGTAATACAAACTCAAAAATTCCAATAATTGAAGCAACCTCTCTCAAAAGCTTCTTTGTCAGTGATTTTCATATCAAAAATGTGAATGTCAATGACCAAAATGATGAAGACTCTACTATTCTCAGAGTTAATGCTATTGACTTACAAACTACTCTGAATTCTACTCTTGAGAATATTAACTTTATTAACTCTCAACTATCTCTCATCCAATTTGGATCTTTAGTCAACAGCAATAGTGATCCTATACAACTTGAGATGAAAAATATATCAGTTATAGATTCAACATTTCCAAGCTCTCGATCAATAATCTCAACCAAAAACCTTGAAAATGATGCTGATTTCCTACTCAAAATAAGTGGATTCCATTCATCTAATGTAACTTTCAAGAATAATGGAAACCTATTGTTATTCAGTCATGGGCTTCACAACCCAGTTGTGATTGAAGATTCGATATTTTCCACCCTTTATTCAGCAGCTATTTCTGCATCAAGCTCAGGGTTGGCAGGAACTCTAACAAATGAAGTTACATTCCAGAATTGCACTTTTAAGGATATTCAATCATCATCTCAGTCATTGATCAAGGTTTCTGAAAAAGCTATTGCTAATTTCGTTGGGAGCAGTTTTAGCTCTATCTCAGTTTCTTTTGACAGAGCTGGTGTTATTGAGACAAGCTCTAATTCAATCGCTAAATTCTCATATTGCAACTTTACAGATAACGCTGCAGTGACCTCAACTCTGTTTACAATATCATCTGGAGCTTATCTCGAATGAAACTCTTGATTGATTACGAACAACTTTGGGGTCACCAACGGAGTTGTTTCAGTCTCAAGCAATGGGTATTTCAAGTTCTATGGCTCAGATATTTTTGGAAACATTGCTATCCAAACACCCATTGGTCAGATCTTTGATGCTTCTCAGACCAGTATTTTTGATAATTGCAAAATACACAATAACTCTATCATGACTTCTCAAGAGTTCGAAAGGGAAGCCACTGAGAGTTGATCAAAATTATGATTTGTATCACCAAATGTTTTGCAAAATATGTATACTTATAATTTATACAATCTCCCTTCGCAATTTTATCTTCTAGAGATTATTTCTGGTTCGCTTGAAATATCTAACCAAACCCAGATTTATGAAGAAAGTGAAATATTGAACTTGTACATGACTACTTGAGTAATCGTGGAATCTTTTATCAGAAACATTAAGTTCTTGAAAACTCCATTTAAAGTTACAACATCCACTTTGGAATTGCATGATGTTTCTCTTTCAAATGTTTTGGATATATCAAGCAGAGAGATTTTCTTAGTTAACGACGAAAGTAAATTTATTATAACAAACACGACATATGAGGATTCAAATTCAATGCTTGTTAATTCTTTATCAGGTGAAATTCAAATTGTCAATTTCAAAGCTAGGAATATTTCAAATTTTCCCACTTTTGCTAAGGTTTATTCATTGAAGAGTGTACTGATGAAAAATTTGACATTTGACACTCTAATTGCAATGTCAGAAGAAGTTATTAAAATTGAAGAATCAAATAATATATCAATAGATAGTTTTACAACTGTAGGCCTAAACGCTACCGTCATCTCGATAATGAACTCTGTGATCGAATCAATCAACAATATTAAAATTTCAGATAGTTTAAAAGCTATAAGCGTTGTAGACTCTCATATCAAAAAGTTTGAAAACTCAAGCTTCACAAACAATGGAATCCAAGATAATTTTATATCTGGAGGAGCAATCTCAATGTTCAATAGTGACTTAACTGTAAGAAACACCACATTTTCTAATAACACGGCAGATAAAGCAGGAGCGATTGCTTTCGAATGAGACTCAACCGATAGATGCATCCTTGTTTTAGAGAACACAACTTTCAGCAATAATAGTGCATCTGTGCAAGGTGGAGCTATCCACTACAGCCTGAAACGCCCAGATATTGTGGATTCAGTATTCACTGGAAACTCAGCCAGATATGGAGATGATCTTGCTAGTTATCCAGTAAAAGTCAGAATTAAAGAGCAACCCTTTTCTTTTATGAAGTTTACAAATATCGGATCAGGAGTTTCTTTATCTCAGCCAATTGAGTTAGCTTTATTTGATTTTGATAATCAGATTATCAGTTTAAATAATGAAGACCAGCTTGGAATTTTTCCCCTTATCAACCCTAATGATAAAAACCATACAAATACTATAAGAGGAGTTAGCACTGTAAACTTCAATGCTGGGATAGCTATCGTGGATGAAATTATTTTTATTGATCAGCCAGGATCAAAGAATGTAATTTTTAAAGCTTTAACTACTGCAATTGATCAAGCTAAAGCATCGCTAGCATTTCCAGATCAAGATTTCAATAATGATATTACTGTCGACTTCAGATTTTGCCAACCTGGAGAAGAAGTTACTGACCAAAGGACCTGTAGGGAGTGTGATGCTGGCACTTACTCTCTTAAATGGAATTCTACTGAGTGCACCAAATGCATGGACAATGCTTTGTGCTTAGGAAGCAACCAAATTAGTGTTAATCCAGGATTCTGGAGATCATCTCAGACATCTGAATTTATCACAGAATGACTGGTCGAAGAGTCGTGAGAAGGAGGATTCACAAACTCTACTTTGAACCCAGTAAATTGAGCTGAAGGATATCAGGGAGAACTATGTTCTCACTGATTAGTTAATGAGATGGTAAAATACAGAAAAGTAAGCAATGTAAAATGTGATAAATGTCCAGCTATGATCACAAATACAATCTTAGTTGCGGGACTAGCTTTGCTTACATTTATATTCATGATGGCTCTCATAATTATTAACATTAGAAAAACAAAGGAAAGTCAGTTATCAATTCTGCTAAGAATTATGACGAATTATTTTCAGCTAATTTTCACCTCTCTATCGTTGACTACTAACTATCCCACTTCGCTAATGTCTTTCTTCGAGATTCCAAAAATGTTTGGAGATGCTTCAGATACTTTCTTATCTGTAGACTGATTCATTAGAGATTATGACATCGAATACCCTTTTGGATCAAATGCTATTTTCAAACTCTTCTTGTTGATATTGCTTCCTCTTATTTTATTTTCATTGGTTGCTCTTATTTGGATTGCAGTACACTTTGTGAAAAGAAAGTATGTCAAAGATCTTAAACGAAATTTGGTGATATCCTTTATCAGTGTATTGTTCTTGCTTCATCCTAAGCTGACTGAACAAAGTCTGGGCTTATTCAGATGTATTGATGTTAATGTCGATGATAGTAGGGTTCGAATGGACATTAGCATCAAATGCTACTCCAGTGAACACATCAAATGGCTACTGTTAATATCATTACCATGCATTATTGTGTGGGTTGTGTCTCTTCCTTTGGCTGCTCTAGTAGTACTTTTCTACAACTTTAAGAAACAAGAAGATAATAAATTTAAACAATATTTCTTGATTCTGTACCAAGGCCTCAAGAAAGATAAATTTTATTGGGAATTCGTCAACACTGCAAGAAAGATCTTAATTTTGATGATTTTTCCATTGCCAACAGAAATGAAAATGCTGATTGCAATTCTACTATTAGCTGTATTAGCTAGAATACAGATTACTCTCCAGCCATATAAAAACACTGAGAACAATAAAATTGAAATCCTTGCTACAAGTGCAGGAATTATTACAATTTTCAGCGGATTGTTGTACTCTCAACCAGATGAGATGAAAGTATTAAACACTGTATCTCTGATCTTCTGATGCTTCATTAACATCTACTTTATCTTATGATGGTTCTTATTGCTTTCTCAATCATTCCAAAATTCATCTCAATTATTCCAAATTGTAAGCATTTTCTTTATCTTTAGCTGTCTCGCTTATTAAGTTTCAGTCTCTGAAAATGGAGAACAAGCAATAAAGAGATATGTGAAAAGCATTCTGCTAAACCTGAGAATCAACAAAAGAAATCAAAAATGGAGTATGTAAAACTTTGACAATTTTTCAAAACTTTTAGGTTAGAATAACCTTGCAATTAGATTTCATGGCACTTTAAATTATTTTAGATATTCCTATACTCCAAAGATTTGTTTCTTTGATGATTCTTGAATTTAAATGAGTGACAAAAGATACCCAAAGAGATTAATTTATTTCCTCACAAATCGATCAAAACACTTATCTTTGGTAGTTTTAAACTACCTTCAAAAATTCCATCCATTTTGATTCTAATCTATCAGAATTGACTTCCCATAGAGTTAAAACCAGTTTAATCTTTACATATGTATAGGGTTTATAAGAAAAGAATTCACTTTAACTCAAAGAAAGGTAGAAAAGGCAACAAACAGTAAGATTTCAGAAGTCTAATGAATTTGACGAATCTTGAATTTCTTTTTTTAATAAATCTAGTTCAGCCCAACACAAACTACAGGAATTTTATTTAAATTTTTTGAGATTTTATCAAAGATTTCTAAAGAATACATTTATATTGTTAAACTAAGTTTCATGATACCAAACTTTACCTCCTAAATATTTTTCAAAACCATATTTGATTAATCCTCACTTTAGAAAAAGCAGAGCCCTGTTTACAAAGAGGAAAAGACAAAGAGATTTCGAAAATATCAAAGAGAATGTAAAACAATCTTTTAGACATGCAATCACTTTCGAATACATTTTTATGGATAGATGCAGACAAAGGTTTATGCATTAATCTTTAAAAATTCAGGCTTTGTTTTAAAAATAGCTCATTCGAATCAGTGAGCTAGTCGGTTTGGTACTGCCAAATTTATTCAAAATTCATTCCTCTCTGTTCGTACTCTTACTCTAGACCTTATAGAATGCTAAATTTTACTCAATTTTTGGTTTTTTAACCTTTAATAGACTACAAGTGCCAGAATAATGCCTAGAAATCCCTCTATTCCAAACAAACCTCCAAACTTAGACCTCCAAAAAATCTCCTCAAATGACCTAAAAATGCTTTAAATACCCATTATTAACATCTCATCCATGCTCCCACACCCTGGGGTTTTGGGGTTTTGGGGTTTTGGGGTTTTGGGG